TATTTTGTGGATCCATCCAGAAAAGAATACCAGGTACCAACAAAAAGCAGAGTACTTCGCAGATTTTGACACTCGAAGCTGAGGAAAGGCTGAGAAAAGCTGCTGCCATACGGAAGGACGAGGGCAGTTCGAATGCCATTTCAGCAGTCAGTAGCCTCATTGCAAGAGAGGCATACTATCACAAACAGTGTTACAACGATTTTACAAGAGAGTCATCCCTTGCACGAATCCGTGACAGCACACCAGCTACATCGACCCCAGCTACATCGACCCTAGTCACTAGCTCGTCTGCAAGTAGCGCTGAGCATGACCTGTCAACACCAAGACAAGAGGGAAACATCGAAGACTTTTACCACCTAGTACACCAGTTGCTGTTTGTGGAACGCACTGCTGTTAGCATTTCACGTCTTACGGCAGACTACAACGCGACAGTACAAGGAACTGCTAGGAATGACAGAACCAAAGCTGCTATCACAGAACGGTTTGGTGAATCTGTCACTTTTGTGCGCCGTCCGTCCCGGAACAGGGCTGAGCTAGTTTTCGCTAATGCCCATGCCAGTGAGATAATAGCCAGTTTGTATGCCGAGGTTGAAGAGGCGCGGGATTCGGATGGGGTTGATGATGATATTTGGGTGGAGGAGGACAATGCAGCTAACACTTCAGGAGGTGAAGGTGTTGTAGCACAAGATCGCCTGCGTATTGTATATCACGCCGCACGTCTTTTACGGACTGCGTGCCAGGAGACAAAGGCCCAAGAGTCAAGCGGGGAAATCCCAACAGTTGCTGAAGCAAACGCATGCTTACCCAGCCTACTCCACAACTTTCTGGCTTGGGTAGTGACTGACCAGCATCATGATGACATCGGTCAGGACAAAGTTGATTTGGATGAGCAGCTGCAACGTCACGTCTCCTCCATTGGCCAGGATCTGCTGTATAATTATTACATCAGGACTGCCGTGCCCCAAACATGTTGTTCTGGGACTGACCCTACATCAACTCTACCGGAGCGAGAAGCTGCTGAAAATGCTTAACCGGTTTGGGCACACCATTGCCTTCTCCCAGGTTTTGGAAAGGGAGACTGCTATGGCAGAGCGGCGAGTGCGAGACGGGCACATAGTGGATGCGTTACCGGGTGGCATTGACCCCCACCGGCCATTCTTCCATGTAGCAGATAATAACGACTTAAACGAGGAGACTCTGGACGGGAAAGGGACCACACACTGCACCAACACCGTTGTTGTCCAGCCCCGTGCTTCATCTGTAAGCCGCCCTGACAGTGATGTTTCTCCTGCTGAGCCAGCACGAAAACGCAAGCGTATGCTGGCCCTCGAACCTGAGGTTCTTCCCGAATTAGTGTGCCCGACAAAAGTCAACCCAGAGCGCCTTGAGGCAGTTGACGTGGAGACGCTGGACACCTCACTGCCTCACTGTTCTGACGCGGTGGCCATGGATGACTTCATCTGGCAGCTTGCACGGGCTTCAAAGGACGGTGACATCGGCAAAGTCATTTTGTCCCGCACTGATCAAGACCAGACAGTTATTATTATTATTATTATTTATTGCAACATCTCAAGACTCGGCGGAAACAGGGGCCAATATTACGAGAGTGGGTGATTGCCAACCACGGCGATAAATAGAAATAAGGGGAGGGAAAAAGAAAGTTCCAGCGTGGTCGGCATTTAATGCCCTGCTTCAACGCCAATGCATCCCACCACGGTCTGCCATAGGTTACTGCCCTGTGGTCAACTCGTCACCAACTGACATGTCAACAGTCTACGCCATCCTCAGAAAGTGCCTTGGTCGATGTGCCAATGCTGGCCTCCCATTTACCATCATTGTAGTGGACCAAGCCATTTACGCAAAGGCATTGGACATTATTAACCACCGGCCTGACGAGTTCTCACCCGTGGTGCTGAGATTGGGAGCGTTTCACGCAGCCTGCACGTTCCTCGCCATCATCGGGAAGCGTTTCCGTGATGCAGGTCTCCTTGATCTGTTCGTTGAGTCCGGGATAGCTGGACCATCTTCTGCCTCGTCTGCGTTAGACGGGACTCAATACAACCGAGCTGTGCGTTTGCACAAGGTTGTTGCAGAGGCTTTGCATCGGATGCGGTGGCAGCAGTTCGTGCAAGATGCGGATTCCACGATCATCAACCTAGCAGCCCTCCGATCTTCACTAACGTCTTCATTCAAGGAGCTACAGTCTTGTGTCACCGATGACAACTCGGCGTGCATCACGGCATCACCGGAGGCTGTTGAGTTGCACAAGCAGTATACGGAGTACTGCCGGAAGCGGGCCGCTTCATCAGAAATTTTCAACTTCTGGTCTTCCTACATTGCCATGGTGAGCCTTCTGCTCCGGTTCTTGGGTGCAAGTCGAATGGCAGATTGGAAGTTCCATCTGCAGTGCGTTTTGAAAATGCTCCCTTGGTGCTTTGCGTACGACAGGCAAAACTACGCCCGCTACATGTCCTTTTATTGGCTGCAAATGACCCAGTTGCCAACAACACATCCCGAAGCGGATCGGTTCCTGCAAGAAGGAGGTTTCTCCGTCCAGCGCTCCGACAACCACCCATTTGCTCAGGTCCCATCTGACCAGGCCATTGAACAGTCGATAAACCGGGCCACAAAGACCGTAGGAGGCATTATTTGGTTCAGCCGCCATCCAGCAACCGTGCAGAGATGGGTGTTGACTGCACATGACCGAGCCGCTGTGGCAGATGTCTGTTCGGAGCACTGTGGTATGGACAGTGGTACCGAGGAGCGAGATACCTTGCACAAAGAGTGCCAGACGGGAAGAATGGCTCGTGATGAAAACGATGTCGTGAGTGTGGTCGAGACTGTCAGCAAGTTTCTCAACCCATTCGCATCTGACGGCGAGGAACCGCTGCCTTTGACACAGTTCGCATCTGGCATTAAGGCACCCCATGATGTAGCCCAGGATCTGCTCCATGCCGAATCTCGTGGACATAAGGCCTTCACGGCTTTTCTTAGCGAGAGACTGTTGTCTGGAGCATCCGAGAAACAATCCCACGATCCACTGAAGAAGCTGCAGCTGAAGACCTTCACTCTGAAGAAGCAGAAGAAGAAGACTCCTGGAAGTGGTCAAGCCGAAATTCTCCGGAATGATCGGTCAACATTCTCCAGGACTGCCCTGATTGCTCAGACCAGGTAGATGGATATGCGTCATGTCCTGTCATACCCACTTGGCCCCCTGCCCTGGGCTTTAGCAACAACGTCAGGATCTCTGGTGAAGACCAGCAAGTCTGCCCTGCTGCCGTTGCTCACGGACAAGGCGATTGTCGACGACAGTACACACCCACACGATGGTGCACTAATAGTCGACGCCATGGCGATACTGTTGAGGTCAATGAAGACTTCCAGCTTGCCATCCACGTTTGCCGAATATGCCGAGTGCATCCTAGATCGCCTGTGTAAGTTCTTTGCACGGTATGCTCGAGTGGACTTTGTTGTTGATACGTAGACCCGGGTGCTCGAATCAGAAACGATTTGACAGGTGTGCAATTTCTCATCTGTAAATCTCAACAATGTCAGAATATACTTTTGGAGAGGCGATGGAACAGGGAAGAGAGTCTGGCTTGACCCACCCAGCAGGAATTCAGAACCTGGGTGCGCTACAACACAAGCTACAGTACGCAGTAAAATGGTCGTATTTCCTTCGGATTTTTTATTTGAAAATTGGGTGCTCGAATCAGAAACAGCGAACTCGTCAGATCGTCTCCGATTCAAGCACACGGGTCTGCCATCGTCTACGCTTGGTGTGGCAGTTGAGGGCAGGGAGTAGTAACTTACTACTTAATTTTTGAGAGCAAGATGGTCAGTGGAGCCGCAGATTCAGCAGGTCTTTGGCAGCACCGTACAGGAGACCCATATCGTCGAATCAAGGACCCAGCAAAAAGTGGGTCGCGAGTATTTCAAAAAGTGTTTACCGGGCAGCGCTGAAATTTGGCATACCGTTAGCAGGCCGTATGTTGATGGTATTTGTGAAAACTAAACGAAATCGGAACAAGTTTAGGTACAATTTCAGGGTGTTTCTGTTTTGGTACCCTGTGTCTCATTCGAGCACCCGGGTCTACCGGGATATGTCGATCAAGAATCTGGAACGTTCATCACGGGCCGCTAGTGGGACTCTACGGCAGCATATCACTGGCGCTGATCAACGGCTTCCCAGGCAGTTTGCCAAGTTCCTGGCAGTGGGTGACAACAAAGAGGAATTGATTGCATTCCTCGCCGTACAGTGGCAGCGTCCTGCCATGGTTGAGAAGGTGCCTGAGCAGAGGGAACTTGTCGTTACCAGCGGTAGCTCTTGTGTGATGATCAAACGTCAGGCAGGTGCTACAAGTGTCGTCCCTGTACTTGACTTGGAGTGCAGCCACGAGGAAGCGGATACCCGTCTCTTGTTGCATGCATCTCATGCTGGATCCGCAGGCTATCCCACCGTCACGGTCAAGTCCCCGGACACTGATGTAGCAGTTCTGGCTGCCTTCGCCCGCCATTCCATTTCTGGAAGATTGTACTTCCTCACTGGGACTGGGAACAAGGTTCGATGCATCGACATGGCAACTGTCAGCGACGAGCTTGGCCCAGAACTCTGCCAAGCACTGCCAGGCTTCCACGCCTTCACTGGGTGTGATAGCACAAGTGCTTTTTGCATACCGCGGGAAGAAGGCTGCATTGAAGATTCTGCAAAGCACCGATCCTGTTGGGTCTACATCTCGGCAAGCATTCACCTCCCTGGGGAAAGGCTTCGAACCACTGACAGCTGATGTGCTCATCAACCTTGCGACATTTGTGTGCTCCTATTACAAAGTCTCTGGTTGTAGCAGCGTCAACGACGCAAGGTATGAGCTGTTCTGCACAAAGACCTTGCAGTCAAACCAGCTTCCACCATGCAAAGATGCCTTCCTGAAGCATGCCGCGAGAGCTAACTACCAAGCTGCCATTTGGCGCCAGTGCATTGTGGCTCAGCCTGCGATACAAGCACCACAAGATAATGGCCAAGGTGAGTGAGCTGACTGTAGCATATAATGCAGTTGTAGAGGAGGACTGCAGTATGAAAATGATGGATATTCTCTGAACAAGACATGTTCGTTGATGTTGCTACTTATACAATAGAGTGAATCAGCTGTGTTATCAACACAATCATGCATGAAGTAATTGACTGTTGTAGTGTAAGAAGCTTTTCTGATATATGGAGTAAATAATTTTCATTCCTCCATCTGTTTGTTCTCCCCATTACAGGTTGGTGTCTTGACCAGAACGGTGATCTAGCTGTGGACTGGCTTAGTATACCACCCGCTCCCCACTCTGTCCTCGAGTTTCTCAGCTGTGGCTGTAAGACTGGCTGTGGAGGAGGCAATTGCTCCTGCAGGCGTCACATGCTCGTGTGTACAGATGCTTGTAGCTGTCACCATCATGCTTCAGTTCCATGCAAGAACTGCCCGGTGGAATCTGCTCCTGGACATGACGAAGTACAGGCCATCGATGAGGGAGATCTTCCGTCTGACACTGAGCAGCAGTGAGTCACCCATTTATGGACACACGGATAATGCACTTTCGTTTTATGTTACATGTAACTGTTCAACTCTAAACATTGGGTATACAGAACTGTGTTCACGTTGTGACATGCTTCCCTATTCTGATTCATGGGTGACTACAATGTAAGGTCGTACTGTGAGTCAGTGAGTTCTATGCTTCTATGGTCTGTCAATGCAGGTAATTGCATGAATGGCAAGTACGGATCACGTCGGTTTACCCAGTATGTGCTCAAAACTAGTGGACCGATGCGGTTAAAAGTCAGGCACCTCTACTTGTTGCATACACGTGTATGTGCTGAGTGTTTTTGCTGGCTTCTGAAACAACGTAGTGTATAGTGTATAGTATATAATTATATACAATGTAGTATGAGTATGTGGTTGGTAATAATGCAAAGCCAACATCTTTGGTACGTCAGATTTATGTGCATCTCTCGGCGTCCATATTTTGTTGGCCGCTTAGCCGAATCTACTGTGCATAGCAGCATATACTGTGCATAGCAGCATATACTGTGCATAGCAGCATATACTGTGCATAGCAGCATATACTGTGCATAGCAGCATATACTGTGCATGTTCAGTTCCCCGCTCAAGTCCATTACTGAGTTGGCAGCGATTGCCGGATAGCCCTCCCACATTGTACATTGTCCAATGCCCATGTGATGGCATACTCTTCTTTTTGTCTTTTTTATATTTTCTACGCCTTCATTTTGATTTGATAACAGCCGAAGTTTGTTTCAGATGATGGCCCAGTCACATGGAGAAGCCCACCTACATGTGTATTTCATGTACATTATAATACTTGTGATGCGTACTCTGTTCTTTGCTTCTGATGTACATACGATCCCCAATGTGATTTGGCTACAGCTCATTACGAACGACGATCCATGTATTGGACATAATCTTATCAGTGATTGTAATGCTATTGTATACCAAAGGGCATTCTGAATTGTATTGTGAAACAAGGCCCACAAGAAGTGATAAAGACTGTAAAATGTCCAGGTATATCACGAGGGGAGAGCCTCCCCTTCCACCCCATTCTGCATCCGTAATCGAGGGGCCGAGCACCCCCCTTCTACCCAACTACTGTACTTACAGTGCAATGGTATTGACCTTTTGTATGCACACAATTGTCGTACTGTGGGCGACCCAGCATGGGTTCTAGTTGCACGATTATCATCAAACCTTGGATACTGGTGGTTCTTGGTCTTTCTTTGGCAATACAAAAAACTGGAACTGCTTACAGCATAGGAAAGGTTGTAAAATTTGAATTTCGACTTCCGTTACCATGGCAACATCAAAATAATAGTATTCCTTTGATTTGGTCAACTTAGGACAAGAATCCCGGGACAAGAGATACATGATAAGAAAGCCCAAGCACCACTCTATCATTTCGTATAGTCAAACCTTGGTACCCTTCTGCTCGGAGTGAAAAGTACGAATTTTGCACCCTGGCCTGCGGACTACTGGTTAGCTTTATGCTTTGCCCTCTGCTTCTAGCAGTTTAAGCACTCTCAGCGCTAGTACATCAGTAGTATGGACCGAGCGAGTTCTGGTGCAAAGTTGAACCCACTTGACCTTATCAATGGGCACTCGAACTCTGGGGTGTTAATAAGTGTCCACTTGAAATGTGAAGTGGTTTTTAAGTGGCCCAGGTGTCACCTGTAATTGGATTAATGACTAAGTGGTTTTAAAGTGCCTTTCGGCGACATACGGTAAGTGCTTTTTAAGTGGTGTGGGCGGTATTTATAAGATTGACTGTCTGTGCGTGTGGAAAACATGAAGCAGCAGGTCCACCTTTAGCAAGTCAGTGTACGTTGGGATGAGCGGACTGGAGCTCAGCAAGGAGCTCATGTACAGGTTTTATTACGACCAGCTCCAGCCACGCCACACAGACCGTATGAAACTGTTATACGGACACGGACTAGTTGTTTCTGATGTTCCGCACAGAGGATCTGTATGCGGGCATGATGAGTATGGCTGACGAGTATGACACCAGAAAATTTGACCCCGACAACCCTCTCGCGCAAGGGTGTGTAGAGAGCGGTGAGGAGAGATTCACCATCGCGGACTACCGTCTTTGCCTGTTCGATAGGACCAGGATGGCTCACGCAATGACCACCCTTCAACGCCATTCACATCGAATCTTCACGGAGACGATGGTCAAGTCGTCTTTGTCACCATTCGACAGTAAGCGGCACATCTTAGCCGACGGTGTCAGCACACTTGCACATGGACAAAGTGTTTGTTTGGCTGCTTCCACGCCTTCATTTCACTCACCTTTTGTAGTAGCTCACACCGTCGGAACGCTCTCACATCTTTTCTTCTAATTTCTTTCGTTTTCTCTCCCACTTTTTTCACACTTCACCTTGTATAATTCCAACTATCCTATAGACCTATAAGTAGTTTGTTTCTCCGTATAGCCTCTATTGTGAGACGATTTTTCCCTGATGATAATCTCAAGAAAATCGATTAGGAACATCAATTTTGATACATGTATTCTCATTCATCATTTCGTAATGTCCGCTTCACTTATACTATTAATCGCCTTAATAAAGTTATTGTCTCCCCGTCGCCTATTAATAGTATTATTAATATTTAAGGGGGCAACCTACCCAAAAATTTCATATGGCATTCAATTGACCGTAACTTTGGTGTTTCTCAGTGGATTTGAGTGAAGTTTTGACCACACACTCCTGCCACTATGCTGGCCCTCAGGACATGATTTACAAGATCTTGCGCCTCACTGACAGGCTTTTCAGGCCGGAAAAACTCAAATTTCCGGCATAGTGCCACGGTGTGCGAGTCACCCAGGAGCCAAACAAATGCATTTACAATTGTTCACATTTTCGTGCCCATTCTGTCCGTGCGCGGGACACAAACTTAAAACAAGTCCAGAAGCAGCCATGGGTGGTGGGATAGGGCCCCTCAACGTGGCCCTGGAATCTGTCACAACGGAACTAGTGGGCGTTCTCTCACAGACTCCCACAGACCCAAGTCAATTTTTGAATTTGTTTAGGTTTAGCACGTGCTACGAGGTCGTACCTTTGATACAACATCCAGTGCTGGGACGTCCACAGCAAGTCATTTCCACAGCGCTGCACACCAAATCCAGGATGCCCTCAGAAACCGGCAAAGACTACCACTCACGTTTCACTACTGCCTAGTACTGAATCCTGCCTGACTTCTTGACCGACTCAAACTTGCCAAAGTCACTAAATCAACGTCAACTACAATAATCAAGCCACATATCTGCAACGTCACGAGGGTGCTGGCAAAAGTCCTGCAGCCCAATACGTGGTTTTTAACGTGATTTTTTGGACTTTTTTTTAGACTTGCAGCAATATTCTGCACACTTTCGTGTGTTTCCATGATACGACAAGTTGCGCACGGTCTGCTCACATTCAAATACAGTTCTGCCAACAAATGACAGCGTGCAACAAAAAATCTTTCCTTGCAAGGGCACATTTCGGCCATAACTCTTGAACGGCTGGTCAGATCAGGACACAATTTTCAGAGAATTGGCAGCTTGCTCTTTCAACTGACGTAGCACTCAATATGAATTACAAATTCGATTTTTCAGCGAATATTTTGGTAGTCTGCCACCTTAAACTCGGATACTGAGCCAGTAATAAATGTAAAAAAGAGAAGAAACACATGAGAACGAGTTATACAGCAACTTTCCACGACCGTAAGAAGATGATAAACGGTCAGAAAGTGTGATAATAGGGCACAAAACTGACAGGCTACTGAGACCTTCAACGACCCGAGACCTAGCTCTAACACATATCCAGTGCGCAAAGCAACAGCCTTCCAACTTGGAAGTTTCATGGTTACGTAGGACCGAAAAGGGGAAGGTTAGTGCAGCGAAAATGTGCACAATCTAAGTCTCGCGGCAACAAAGAATGCCGACTGTTACAGGACGATGACGACACCAGTTATTATGTCATGACAATGCGGTCTGACTACAATTCGAAGCAGCAAAGCAACTCACCACCCCACTTGGGTGGGTCAGCAATATCAGAGATAAAGGAAGGGGGAAGCTTTGCGAAAACGTCGGGTCGCTGAATGTCACAGTAGCCTGTCAGTTTTGTGCCCCATTATCGCACTTTCTGACCGTTTATCATCTTGTTACAGTCGTGGAAAGTTGCTGCATAACTCGTTCTCATGTGTTTCTTCTCCTTTTTACATTATTATTATTTTTATTAACTGGTTTGAGGGAAAGAGACAAACGGGAAAAATCTGAAGAAAAAATTGACTGTCACCACCAGGACTCGAACCAGGGACCCTCGCTTGTAGCCAGCGATGCTCTAACCACTGAGCTATGGTGTAGTCGTCATCCCAGCAGAGGCCGTTCAACATTTTCTTCAGACTTCGTAACTCACACTTCCTGTGAATCCACACTATTATTTTTATATAATTATTTTTATTTTTGAAAGGATTGGGAGAACTTCAAATTCATATTATTATTGTAGAAAGGAAAGGGGCATATGGATACGAGTTAAGAGTAACTCTCCATCACAGTAACTGGATGCTATATTATACAGTCAGAAAGTGCAATAACTAGGCTCAAAACTGACAAGAGTACTGAGACATTCGACGTCCTGACACCTAGCTTCAACACATCTCCGTAGCGCTAACCGACAGCCATCCAACTTAGAAGGTTCATGGTTATGGAAAGACCAAAGAGGGGAAGGCAAATAATATTATTATTATTATTATTTTCAGACTTTTCCCGTTTGTCTCTTTCCCTCAAACCAGTTAATATTATTATTATTATTATTATTATTTTAATATGGCAATAAGTAGGACGAGCTGAAGCGACATGTGGACTACTTTATTAACAATGTAAGCGATGGAGACGATGCAAGAAACAACCTAAAGGGTAAGGAAAAATACATGTAAGAAGAAAAAGGGTAATGGAAAAAAAGATGATTCGAACAAGTTTTCGTACAACACTCTTCAGGAATCACCGTTGTACTAAAGAACAAAATGAGAACAAAGGAAATAATATAGCAATCAAGGTAGGGTGACACGATACAATGACAGCACTGGAATATCGAGGTGCGATTTCTCACAAAAGTGTGCAGAAAACAAGGGTATACAAGTAAGAACAAGAAGGAAGTAATCATGACCGAGTTTGAGCTCTTTTACCGCAAGTTATTACGCTTCAGACCGGTGTCCGAGTCACAACAGTCAATTTGCGCCGCAAAGATCCGGGCAGAGGCCGAGGAACACGCTGATGCATTACCGGATAGAAGAACGTTTTCATTGAAACGCGAACATCTCAAAGCCCTGCATGAGCTACGGAATAACAAAGACATTATTGTCACGCGCCCT